GTTTTTGACAAGTCCTCAAGGGTCTTAAGTCTTGTATTTCCAAGAAATTGAATTTTTCATGAACATCGCCATATTTTAGGGTACCATACCACCTTAAGCTGGGCTCATCCGCCCTGTGATAGCTGTTGTTTTTCGTCCTAATGAATAGCCTGCGAGCACGCTCTTCGCGTGGAAAGAATGAAGGAGAGGAAAGGGGAATAAGAGGCTGCCATCATAGTAAATAGCTGCCATCGACCGCTTTGAATTTTGAATCGGTGCGCCCACATTTGGAGGCAAAATGCTGATTGACTGAGATTGATTCGTTGGCATGATGACGTTACCTAACTGTGATCGGCTTTTGTTTAGGAAACCAAAATGATGGCCCGGAGAGATGAAGTTCAGAGCCGTGTGTGACAAAATTTCAGAGTGGGTCTTCAGAACATTTTTTCATGATTGAGATGCCCTAGACACACAACTTAAGATACATACAAACCCGATTAATGTTTTCTGTCAAGGCCTTAACATTTATATTTGATATATCAATAAATGTTGAATATTTAACAATTTTTTGCCTCAGCCTCAGTTAACCTTGGTGAATATTCACCAAGACAAAGTAGAGGTGAATATTCACTAATGCTCACTGGGCCTGAAGCGAATAATTTTTGTAGTATGATTTTCAGAGGTGAATATCAAGGAGCACAAAATAACGGACTAAATCATAAAAACACAGACGCAATGCATGGTTCCTTTGCACACAAATATACAGCCGTAGTTTTAATAAGCTTGCATTAATTGGGTGCCCATTCTCTTCCTCAAGTGCAATAGCAATCGCAGCCACACTCGTGTCAGTAACTTTTACCGAGTTATAAAGCCTCAATCTTGTAAAATGGGGTTTCCTTGAAAAACGTAATAGTCTCCTTTGAAAGAGAGTTTCCGGAATTTTCTAGTCACTATGGTAACTCGATCAGAGTGTACAACTCGTTACTTGGTATAAGTTCTACGTAATATCGACTGGCTCCAATAACCGAACATGTCCTGATGTCTTAGGCAAATGCTCCTGAAATGTTCATGTTATGTCCTAAAGTGTTCATGGTATGTCAGGTTGCCAGCCTTCGACACTGTTCTCTCTTCTTTTACTCAAAAAGACTCTCAAGAGGTCCCGGAAAGTCGTAATTAAACATCTCAAAGCTAGCTCTGTACAACTGACCAAGAATGTCGATCCATTCTACGGGAATCTGCGAGTAATAATTGAGTAAAGAGGAGGCGGTATCGGATTTATTGCTGGCACGAGCATTGAATCTCTTTGCCTCTTCAGGTGATAACCCCGCTGCCTCTTTGAAATCTGCCAAGTCTTGATCAAAAGTTTCGTAATGACCTATAAAGTCATAGTTGATGGCACACATTCCACATATGTTGGCGTAATTATTCCAGTGCCAGTCCATAACACGCGTACTCTTGTTGCTTCCTTTGGTTACTAAATACTCTATGAACTCCCGAAAAGTGATGTCATCAAGCTTTTCAAGTGCACTCTTTGAAGCGTTTGGACGGAAGTTCTTCAGGATCTCTCTTCCGTGAAATTCAAGAGTTCTGCGGTCTCCCTGTCTTAGATGAACAAACTTGTCTTTGTAAGCTGACAGAATGCGCTCGAACGGTTCACGAACAAACGTGAACTTGAAATATGTTTCCAACATCTGCTTTTGCTGGTCAGGAGGAAACTGACCCAATTTTATGATCCTTCGACCCTCGTTAAAAGGATACAGCATGCTCCTCCACTGCCTGGAAGCCACTTTAGGTGTTATACAGTACAGTATTTTGAGAGACGGAATCACTTCAATGTGAGAAGGGCGTTTCATGCCAATATTGTGCCCAGTCTTTTGACAATACGTTTTAACCAGCTTTCTACGTTCTTGTTGTCTTAACTCTCTTGGAGTGCTGAAATTAAATGAGTCCTATGAATAAGAAAAGAAGTAATAATAATAATAAGTAAGTAGTTTGTTAGTCTCAGCTGCAACCAGAATTACAAGAATTGCTCGTCCTAACAAGTAGTTCGAGAACTAATCGAGGCGGGGGAAAGAATTCTTGCTTTAATGTGCCTTCTTCATCCTCCTTTCTTTTCTTTCTATTTTTATTCGAAGAAATAACAGTTATTAAAACCGCTTCATTTCCGTTTTAAGTTGTTTCTTTTAGTGGGTCAAACAAAGCTTGAGGTCTCCCTTAGGAGTTTAATTCCAATTTTCCGACGAGCATTCCAGGCCCGACCTTTTCATATGGACACCCCTCCCCCGGTGAAAGATCAAGCAAGGTATTCTGGCCATGTACAATTAATTTCTAAGCCAAGCATGCACAACATGTCGACGTTATTGATAGGCGGTAAGCCTCTGTTAATTTCGCCATGGCCGGTCCCAAGCCCGGATGAGAAAGAAGGAAGGTTGGGCGTGAGGCTAGCAGCCTAACCCCGTAAAACAGCTCCTTGCTACAGAAACACGTACAAGAATCACTTAAGATACCTCCGCTATTGGGAGAGGAGGACCTTCACAAAGAAGACGGATGACGCCTCGTGGTGAATGGCGGAGGATTCTGGAAGCTACAAGGCCGAACACCCTTTTCGATAGAAGAGCTATCTGGATGGGAACTTCAAATGTCAGATCTATTTATGAAACTGGAAATACTTCCAAGTTGAGGCGGTGGTGAGGGCCCACAACCTAACACTGTTTGGAATCAGTGAGTCTCGATGGACTCAGTCCGGCCGAAGGAAACTGAATTCAAGTGAGTTGCTGCTGTATTCAGGACATGACGATGTGGAAAGCCCGCATACACAAGGTGTACCCCTGATGTTATCAAAAGCAGCACAAAAGGCGCTCATTGGATGGGCAGCGCATAGGCCGAGAATAATCACAGCGTCGTTCCATACCTCGAAGAGGAAAATTAGCATGAATGTAATACAGTGTTACGCTCCGGACAAATGACAGTGAAGATGAAGTTAAGGATCAGTTCTACAACAGACTGCAGTCGGTGATTGATACGTTTTCTGAAAGCGATGTCACCATTTTAATGGCGATTTTAACGCCAAGATAGGAAGCGACAACATTGGATATGAGGAAGTAATGAGGCAGCATGGGCTTGACGTTATGAACGACACTGGGGAAAGACTAGCAGACTTATGTGCTCTTAAAAAGCTGGTCTTAGGTGATTCAGTGTTTCCTCAGAGACGGATTCACAAGGCAACGTGGCTGTCACCAGATCAGTAGACAGAAAACCCGATTGACCACTTTTGCATTGGTAAGAAATTTAGAAGATCACTTCAGGATGTGAGAGTGAAAAGAGGTGCAGATGTTGCCCCAGATCATCATCTAGTTGTTGCAAATCTCAAGCTAAAACTAACGAAGAACTGGACCGGTGCAGTACCTCAACGAAATAAGAATGACATTGAAGGTTTGAAGAATGTACGGAGGCTCGAGAATTTCAGGGCACAGTCAAGAACAGGTCTCAAATATTGCCGGATTTGATAGAAGACGACGGGACTGTTCATAGTACTTGGAAGGTGGTTAAGTAGTCCTTTGTGTCAGCTTGTAAAGAGGTGTTCGGCTCCAAGAAATACCACCACAAGGATTGGATCTCTGCTGAAACGCTTAGCAAGAGTAGGGTGAGAAAGGAGAAAACGGCAGCTAACAAGAACACCAAGAAGAGCATCAGAGCAGATGAGGGGAGATACATAAATGGACTAGCTGAGGCAGCTGATCCAGCAGCAGGAGTAGAAAATATGAAAGGTAGGTATGACACCACCAAGAAGTTGACAGGGAAATTCAGAAAGAAAGACCAGTAAAGTATAAGGCAGGTAGACAAATTTTGGGGGAGGAACAGCAAAGGTGAAGATGGGTACAACACTTCGAAGAGTTGCTCAACAGACCAGGTCCACAAGACCCACCTGACATCTTGCCAGCAGCCGAAGACATGGATATAGAGCGCGGCACACTGACCAGGGATGAAATAAGGACGGCAATCAGACAACTGAAGCATAGCAACGTAGCTGGACCCGACGGTATCCCTTGTGAGGCACTTAAGGCAGATATAGAGACCACCATGAATATACTATACCCCGTCTTAGAGAAGATCTTGGTAGTGGAAGAAGTTCGACTTGATTGGAAGGAGGGATATCTTATCAAGTTGCCAAAGAAAAGAGATCTTAGTAACTGCACAAGTTACAGAGGGAACACGCTTCTGGATGTTTCAGGGAAAGTATTCAATAGGGCCCTTCTAAATAGAAGGAGGGATGTGGTCGACTCTAAGCTTAGGGAGCAGCAAGCTGGTTTTCGCAAGGATAGATCATGCGTGGACCAAATCGCCACACTACGGATCATCATAGAATAGTCCAGTGAGTGGAACTCTCCCCTATACATTAATTGGTTGATTTCGAAAAAGCGTTTGACAGTGTGGATAAAGATACACTTTGGAAGCTTCTCCGGCATTATGGTTCCTCATATGAGGAGTTGACGTGCAGAGTCATTCATAGAGGGCAGCCCTCTGAAGCACTCAACGTGAGAACAGGGGTCAGAGAAGATTGTTTACTTTCGCCATTCCTGTTTTTGCTTGTAATTGATTCGATTATGAGAACAGCCACGGCACAGGCAACAAATGGAATCCAGAGGAGACCGTGGCTGCAGCTTGATTGTCTGGCACTATTATCCCACACACATCGGCAAACGCAGGAGAAGACCAACGGTGTAAGAGATTCGTCTTACCAAATTGGTCTTAACATAAACAGGGGAAACGCCAAGGTCCTCAAGATTATCACTATGGTCACCGAGCCAGTTCGGCTGGATGATGACTTCTTGGAAGAGGTGAATTCTTTCACATATCTGGGTAGTGTAGTCAACATCCAAGGAGGCAAAGAAGCTGATGATTAAGCCAGAATTGGCAAAGCAGGAGCAGCTTTTCTGCAGTTAAAGAATGTCTGGAGCTCCAAAGATCTGACACTTCAGACCAAGATCAGGATCTTTCATAGCAACGTCAAACCTGTCTTACTGCATGACTCGGAGACCTAGAGGACAACCTTAACAACCACAAAGAAGATGCAGACCTTTGTCAACTCACGTCTACGAAGAATCTTACGGATAAGTTGTCCAACCACCATTACCAACAACGACCTGTGTCAAATAACCAACCAAAAGAAAGCCTGTAGATGCTGAGATGATGATGAGACGTTGGAGATTGGTAGGACACACTCTCCGGAAGCCTTCTACCAACGTCACAAAACAAACCTTGTCCTAGAACCCCAAGGGAAAGAGGAAAAAGGGAAGGCTCAAGGACTAATGGAGACGGGACTTGGATTTAGGCATCCAGAGATTGGGGCTGACCTGGAGTCAGATAAAAGGAAAGCCCATGACAGAGATAGCTGAATCGAAGGACTCTTGTAGGTGGACTATACCCCAGGAGGGGTACAAGGCGTAAATTAGTAAGTAAGTAAGCCTCCGTTGCAAAGTTCTCAGTAACACTTTAGTCCATTCGTTAGTACCAGTGTAATGACCATACCTGTATAATCCGAACATTTGAACCCTCTTTTATCGCTCGCTCATCTTGACTTGGCACTAGAATTAACGAAAACAGAGAAAGCATTATTACTTTTGTGGACTGGGTAGCTTGGTCTAGCGGCTAATTAGCTATAAGATGGATGGGGAGGGGTGGGAGCCCGGGAGAATAGGTAGCGGGACGCGGGAGAGGAAAGAGCGGGAGGTGGGGGTTCTAAGAGGGAAAGAATCGGGAGAGAAATGCAAAATGCTAATTTTTGTCATTTATTAAGCGTTAAAATATATTAACCGTCGGACGTTGAAGCTAACTCGGCGAGTGGCTAAACTTAGTGCAAGGCTTTTATTAGCGTTTGCAAAAAATTATCTTCTCCTTTAAAAGTCAGTGATTAGCGATATGATGATATTAGCGATATCTGTTCTGGTATTCCTGGCTTTAGTACAGGTTCATTTTAAACTTGATTTGATCACAGAAGAAAAAATTTGCTCTCATTTTAGTCGTGTACTTGGTAGCGTAGTTGTTCAGCCTAGTGCGCCTGTGGCATATAAACCATGTTTTGCGTGAAACGTAATACGTGTGCGCATTAACAAACGTATTTACCGTCCCTAACTGTACTTACTATAAAAGTTAAAAAGCCGTGAATACTTTGTTCTGATTTTGACATGTTGATTGTGTAGCCAACAATTAAATGGGAAATAACACCGCAAACAAAGCAAACAAATTAACAGTGTCTCTATCAGTCACGAAAGCACACTTGGATGGTTTTTCCTCCCGAAAAATGGCTGTTGCCCCGTAGTTTTATAGTTACTAATTTAACTTGTTCTATTTGTGTAAGCAAACTGGAAATTCGAGCGTCTTTAAATGAAGTGTGGCTCAAATTTGCACTCGAGGACTTGTAGCCTAAGGCTACAAAACAAGACAGCTCTTCTACATTCAACTCGATCCGCTGCTATGTTTGGCGACAAAAAATTCAAAAAATCTTTGCGCGGCCATGTGATACCTTCTATTTCTCTGGTGTAGTATGGATAGGGCCTGTATTTACACGTTTACGTAAAGCTGGCCTAAATTTCTACTTTAAACCAGCGTTACGTAGAGTTATAACGCTTTAAGTTTCATGTATAATGCAAATGCAGCGTTAAGTTATGCAAATCCACTGTTTTCAAGATACTGGCCTGCGATGTTTACGTGATCTTATAACAGTAAGGTGCTCCACTTTTAACCTTAGGGGCACCACAATACTGGACCTTCCAAAAGTACAATCAACAACTTTCGGCTTAAGATCATGGAGATACGCTGCATGGAAATTGTGGAACGCTATACCGGACGAATCTCGAAAGATACAAACGTACACTACTTTTAAAAACAACTTTTAAAAAAACATTAGATCTCACGGAACTCTGAGTGCGAAGTGGATCTACTCTAAATCAATTTTTACTGCTTTTAATGTTCATATTTTCTTATATATTTTACTTGTGACCACATTGTTAATTCTTATATTTTAATATTAGCTAGTTCTTAATCTTAATTTATTTAAATTTATATACCTTCAAAAGGCTCTTATAATTTCTTTTTTCTGTTTTTTTTTTTTCGTGGCGTACCTATAAACTAGCTTTTTATCTAAGCGTACCGACCACGTTAAATGTATTGATTTTTTGATTGAAATCAGAACAACATAGCAGCTTCACGCTGAGATTACGCCAAATTAAATTTTTTTTTTCTCGTGATGGGTTTCAGTCAGTGTTTTCCCGAAGTCTTGTCATTATCACAGTGCCCTTTCCAAGCTCCGCATCAGAAAAACGTCTATTCCATACTTCTAAAAAATAAACTAAAACCCAACTACGGTTATTAATTAAGACCATTATCACGGTCCAGTTCACATGCGAAGCAAAACATTTACATACCATTACTCTAGACTGACTTAATGCGCCCTCGACCTATATCCAGGATAAAGTGTGTTTTCAAGATCGCGAGACAAAAAAGGCAACAAACTAGCGATTGATCATTGATAATTTTTCTTTTCCTTTTTAATTACATATACCTCATTAGATGCGTTAGATGTAGAATAACTGTATGGCTTTCTGACAGCATCTTGGCGAGTAGTCGAGATGCAAATCACTTCACTTCACTTAGCTTCTTTGTGCCTCGTGGCACATAAGGCCTCCACA